TTAGGAGGTCTGATAAGAGGTCTGTTAGGAGGTCTGATAGGAGGTCTTTAGGAGGTCTTTAGGAGGTCTTTAGGAGGTCTGATAAGAGGTCTGATAGAAGGTCTAATAGGAGATCTTCAGAAGGTCTGATAGGAGGTCTTTAGGAGGTCTGTTTATGTTTATATGTTTATGTTTATGTTTTTATCCAAAGCAACTTACAGAGTAGACACAATATTACATTTATCCTCACTATGACAATAAGCTATACAGAGGAGAAACACTGATCAGAGTCAGTGGTCTGTTAGGAGGTCTTTAGGAGATCTGTTAGGAGGTCTTTAGGAGGTCTGATAGCTCTGTTAGGAGGTCAGAGGTAATCAATCCGGTCAGACAGATTTAGGCATTTTTGCATGCTGAAGTTTGACCTCAGGAACCCGAACCGGGTCCAATCAGAACACCCCAACCGAAGCGTTTCTGGTCCGTTTGGTGGTTATTCCCCAAAAAGCGAGAACCTGTTTGATCTCCTACCGGCAGAACTGTGGGTCGCCCCCCCCCCTGCGTTCACGGGGACCCCTCACCGTGTTCGTCCCCACCAACGAGGCTGTGGACCGGTCCCGGGACGGCAGCCTCCTCTACATGCTGCACGACGTAAGGGGGAAGCCTCCCGCTCCAGATCTGAGGGTTTGACACGCGCTCAGTACTTAAAGCTCTTTTTTTCCCGGTGTTTTGCTTCCCTCACAGGCCAAACACAAGCTTCAGGAAATGCTGAGGCACCATGTTTACTCCCGGGGGCATGTAAGCATTCATCCATCAGTTCCTGCTTCCTGCTCTACCTCCCCTGTTTATAACCCAGAAAACAAAGATATATCCGATCTCTCTCTTATTTATAATTCATTTTGAGGTATTTAGCGCTTCAGTCAAGCAAAATCAAGCAAAAAAGATTTTGCTTTTATTTTTTATTTATTAACATTTTTATTTATTTAATTATATTTGATTTTGAAAATAGTTTTTATTTATTTATTTATTAATATTTGATTTTGAAAATTGTTTTTCTATTTATTTATTTATTTATTTATTTATTTAAATTCTAAAAATCTCTAAATCTCTAAAATCTTTAGAGGGAAAACCAACGCAAATTAAAATAAATATC